GGCTGAGGGAAAGTAAGAGACATAGAAAGAAGCTAGGGCAGGCATAGGCAACCTTCGGCACTCCAGATGTTTTGGACTACACCTCCCATGATGCTTTGCCAGCATTATGGGTGTAAGAGCAATATGGGAGATGTAGTCCAAAACATCTGGAGTGCCGAAGGAGGCCTATCCCTGGGCTAGGGGAAGGAAAAGACACATGGGGGGGGGGGGTTGTAAGACACACTAAAGGGGTTATAAAATACACAAACGGGGTAAGACTTTAAAAAAGGGGATTTGAAACACTAAAGGGACTATGAACTCAAAAGGGGAGGGTTACGAGACACACAGGTGAAGATGCATTTTATTTGGGGGGGTGGCAAAATGCATCTTTGCCTGTGTAGCTAAAAATCCTTGCATGGACCCTCCTCTTTAACCCCCTAACCTCCTGTGCCCTCTTTAAAGCCAGTTATCTGAGGAGAACCTGCCTTTCCAAATGGGAATTAATATAAGATTAGGTGAATGATAGACTACACTTTTCTATCCTGTCCTCCATGCACATATATGTTTAATTCACTACCCTCCAATTTATTGCCTTTAAGTATTCAGATCTGTTGATTGAAGTGTTGAGTCATTTATTCTCTAATAGGGATTAGACTCCCCTTGCTAAATACAGACCAGATACTTTTAAATTGATTTGGCAGTGTAGCTACATATATAGATGATCAGTATACCCTTTTTATCCAACCATTATTTCAGTTATATAGTGCTTTTAATCTTTCAATAAATTACCCTTATTTCTTTACTTTTTCTTTAACTCTATAAGGCTCTTTGAGGAAATATATAATGGTTGGGTCAATTACTATCCTCAATCTGTGTACATTCCAAGCATAGTTTTCAGATTTACTACTATCACTTATTAGTTTGCTTACTATGGACTTTGTATCAAACCAGGTTTAGAGTCACTTTAATTTAGAGACTCTTAGGAATTATTTTATTTGGTTATATATTGGGTTGAAGCCCTGGAGTGGAGCTGGTACCACTATCTCTGACCGCTGTGTAGTGATTCCTTTCACGCAATAGGGGGAGGCACCTATACACAGCCTTTTGTTTCATTTTTTCACTCTTTGACCCTCTACTGTGTCCTCTTTAGCCCCCCTCCTGTACCTGCTAAGCCTCACCTGAGGTGGAAGATCCACAGTGGAGAACCCTATGTCACCTGTAGCTGGTCAGACAGGAAACAGTTCTGTGCTCTCTGTGAGCACTTCCTGTCAGATTAAGTAAGGGAACAGAGGCTCCTCTACCGCTGTCCCTCTGCTCGGTCAGGCTACATTTTGTGACCATCAGCAAGGGAGTGCTGTGCAATACGCTTTCCTCCTGCCAGTCACTTGGAGATTGCACTCCCCAGGCACCTCCCTGATGACTGGCATCTGTGGCGGACCATCCCACCCTTCTCGTGCTTAGCTAATGCTCTTAGCCAAGGAATGGTGATGGCAGAGATGGAGGCTTAGGCTCTGTAGAAGTTGGGAGAGTGTCACCAGACCACAAGGAAGCATTTGAGCGTCAGTTGCTAAACTGTTTGCCCTATTACCAGGGAATCAGGCCAGGACACTCCTCACATCATAACCACTTCAACAGGCTATAGTATTTATGATGCTTAGAGTAACCTTTTAATATGCTGTTTGCCTAAATTCACGTATTTCCAATACTTGTACCAAGCCAGTAATCCAATAGTTGGAAACTCCTCCTGCACTAATTCTGACCTGATTCATCCTAGTTCTTGTCCATCTTTTATGTGATTTAGTATTATTGCTCATATGGGTAACATGTTTTTTTTTCAAACGCCCATGTAAGGTTGAGATTGTCTAAAACAGATGAACACAGATTTTTATTAAGACAAAATAGGCAATTATTCTATCTGCACACTCTAAATTGTAGTGTTATAATTAAAGACAAATCTGTGTGCTTCATCAATGCAAGGGACAAGGTCATAAATTAAATTAGGCTCTTAAATTAACTTCTGTCATGTACAGTTAATATTAGTTTAAAGTGCTGTGCAGGAAATCCAAGGTGCCATTATAAGTGGAAAGATTTGAAAGCCCCATTCTAGAATCTTTTTAAACACACAATTCAGGCACTTGATTACCATCAACTGCATTTTTATATGACCCAGAAAGAAACTGATGATGTCCTTGGTGGTCAACTGCGAGGATGTGCTTTTTGATTTCTTTATTCTTTGCCTTTCTACTTAAGTGCTTAATATAAGTTCTCAGCTAGCGAGAGGGGAGAAATTAACCACTGATCATTGAGTTGGGTGATTTGATAACAACCAGCAAGATTTTCATCAAAATAAACAAGTTGTCTGAGCTCCTATCACCTCCTCTCTATACCTTAAGAGCCACTCTCTTAGACCATTTTCCTTTTATAAACTTCTTTTGTTATATTTCCACTAATATTTATGTATCTTGCCTTATTCCCAGGCATCTTACAACTCTTTCACTTGCTGTATTTTACCCCTCCATAAGCACTCCTCTCTAAAATGTCTTTTGTACCAGTTCTTTGTTTCCACTTTGTGCCTATCTATCTGCCTATCAACCTGCATCCTATAGCTGTCTGTACATTAATTTAGCAATTCATTTGTCTTCTGATTTCCATATTCCAAATCAACATCCCTTCCAATGTTCATGTTCTTAGAGGGAGTTATCCAGCAGAGAAACCTTGAGATTCGAGCATCTTACTGGTTCAATAATGTCCCTCACTGTTCCCTTGAACTTTTCTGATTATGTCATTTTCCAGCATCATAATTTATAAAAGACAGATATTATCTCAAATGCCACAAGATGCAGGGGTACTAAATTTCTGAGCATTCAAGCAGTTCAGCTGCTCTTAATCATAACTCATAACTCAGCCTTACAGTTGTGCAGCACTCCAGTACATCAAGTTATTCAAATAATGAGCAGGTTTTGGTTTTTTCTGTTTACTTTATTTTATTTTGTAATTCTTTATTTTATTTGTGCATAGGGTAAACAAGCAGATTTGCACTGCCACAACAACTGGTGCAAACAGATCTTTAGACATATGATTACAGTGGTGTGGCATTGAGAACATTGCACTTTTTTTTTTTTTTTTAGGTAATAAACAGGGTTAAAACGCATGCCTACATGTCATATCAATAAACAGTAAATACTTGTATGTATGTGGGATGGCATGTAGGTGTGAGAACTTTGGGTGTAGAAATTGAATTGTGACATTCTATGTTTTGGCAGGCAAATGAATGTGGTAAAGACAAACATGCTCAGTATTGTGGAACTGTTAGAGCATTTGCTATTCCAGGTAGACAAGCAATGCCCTATTTTAAATGATACATTAGATACTGGTATGAGCTGATGCATAATGGGAGATATTGGTAAATGATTTGAAAAGCATAACCACATGTTTTACCCTTCAGTTATTACCATGTGGTAATGTTGTATGACGGGGTAATAATAATAATGGAGCTCTGTATCCCTGAACTAAGGGGGGGAGAGGGGAGGTGGGCGCAAGGGGTATCCACCGCAGCTGGACAGATTCAGATTAGATGAGTGATTTGGCTTGTGATTGGGGCAGAATAGTTGCCAGCAATCTTCTAACGAAGTGTGGTAGTTCGTCGTCCCCCACCGTTTCAGCGATGACCCGGAGCTTTAGATTTTTGCATCTGCGGTAATCATCTAGGGTATCTAGGTGATTAGCCATCTTTTGCTGTGAGGCCTGTAGTTGGGCCAGGTTTTCTGTGGTACTTAGCTGCCTCTGGGTCATTGAGGAGTTATCTTCCTCCAACACATGAATCCTGGCTGTCACTGCCGTTAGTTCTTCCTTAACCACGTTTAGGTCTGAGTTAAAGAATGCTTTAATGTTTTTCATCAGCTCCAGTATATCCCCCTTGGTGGCCGGGGTGTTGAGGTCTACTATAGACCAGTGGGTGTTAAGGCCCCCTGTCTCTGAGACAGTGTCTGGAGCATCCAGGAGTTCCTCCTCTGAAGAATCAGAGGTATTTCCTGCCGCACCACCATCTTGGGCCTAGGTCCCCGCTGCAGCAGGGCGCCGATGTCGCAGGTTTCCTCACCTGACAGGGCTTTGAGCTTCTTGTGTCTCATCCCCATTCCGTCTGTGAGGTGTCAGACATGTAAGTTGGGTGTTTGGCTGAAGAAATATGAACGTTTGCTTGATAATCAGCTCTGTATCACTGGAGCTTAGGAGTCATGCGACTGCTCTCCTTGCTGTCCAAGCCATGCCCCCCTAAGCAGCAGTTATTTAAGCTCAGATCTTGGTATAAAAACTGTTATAGAAAAATAAAAAAAATATTGAATGTATTTCAAAAATTTATAAAACTGTTATATTTTGTGATATAACATTATACAAATGACTTAACATGATTTACATACATTTTTATCATATAACAAAACTGTGCCCAGTAAATAAAAATCAAAGTCAAATATCATGCTAATCCCAAACAAAAATACCAACAAATTGTATAACAAATGAAACAGAGTATGTCATAGTATATTTTAAACCGAATATGCACTTTCCACATGTTCAAAAGTTGATGCTAAACTGGGCAATAAGAAAGATGTGTGATTATGTTTATTTATTTGAAAGAACCCTGATTGATTTACTAAAGGTTAGTAGTCTAGCAATATTTTTTTTTTTTTACATTTTAAACTATTTATTTAGTGTTTATCTGTTATATTTCATCATATAGTTAATAATTTTCAATTATCCTGTTTTCTGCCAAGTGAATAAATAACCTTTAAAGTTATATAACAATAGGATTAAAACACATGGACATGAAATGTAAGCATAAATAAACAAGACAATAAATGGTATAATCGTTGAGGGTTATTCTTAGCATGTTGAGTCGCCTACATTTCTAGCCCATATGTTGCATACTATGTCATACCATTAACCTGTAATTAAAATAATTAATCTGAAAGATTTAGATCAATTTGTAAGATAACTAGAACCAAGAACTTTAATATAATAGTACAGTGCCATCTTCTGGTAGTACAAGGAATTATGATTATACAATCCTGGTAATATGAGGAAAGTATTTTTGCAATAAACAGTCTGTCTATCTGTAGTTTTTATTCCATAAACTGGTTTAATCATATAGTAGGCTGATATTTTTTATCCACTTTATTTATAAAGCTTTTCCAGAAGAAAAAATGAACAAATAATATTTACAATTGGCAAGAATACAAACCAGTACTAGTATTTAACACAAACTGATAAGTAACAGACTTACTTGATTCTTTATATTTCATTTAGATTTTCAAAGTGTATTCTGCTGATGATAATCTGTGTTCTAGTTAGACTCGATAGATTTTAATGCATCTCATAATTCTTTATAGTTTATATTTATATTATATTTTATTTGTTACAATGTGTAAAATGAATTTCGCCCTAATAACCTTGTGAATTGGAAGGCAGTATCGTAACTAAAGGAGTTGAACAGCTGGAACATTTTGAAATCAAACCAGATGTTTACAAAAGAAAAAAGCAATGTTATCCAGTCTACAGATAGAAAACGCTTGTAACCCGAAGGGGCCTTCTGGTTTGTGACTAATGGAAAAAAATGTTGAATAAACACAAAAGTGCATGTTATTTCGAAGAATGTGGGGGATTGTATTAAGCAATTTGACATGGATTTAAAACATGGATTTTTATCATCTTGTCATAAAAATGACAAGATTATAATAAAATTTATTTTTTCATTGTTACTCTTTTTTTCTTGTTGTCAAACATGTTCACAAAGGGATATTATGTAATTGAACATGCATATTGGGATATTTCCAAAATTATTTGCAAATTGTAAAAATGGGATCATGGTTCTTCCTTTGGATTTTTATTGAAAACTTCTGGCTGTTTATACATTTGTGAAGGTGAATACGTTTTTATTTACAGTTCTTTGCTACGTATCGAGAAAATTTCATGGTCACTTTTATAGAAAAAGACATATGTCTACCACACACACACATTCCATTCCACCCACTTTCCTCATTAGCTGGTATCTTTATGTTCCATCAAGTCAACAGTCATGTTACATTGTTGAAAAAGGTGGTCTAGCCCCAGAGTAGGTACTTTGACTATCTGATAAAGTCAATTCACTTAAGGAAGGTTATTTTATACACTATTTATGCTTAGAATTGCATACCCTATTTGTTTGTATAGACTCAACTTTCATAGAAAAAAAACGTATTAGTGAGGTATGGCAGGCCAAAAATCTCTGATTAAATCCATTTCCACCTAAGGTTAAAAAGCTCTGCTTGAATTCCCAGAAAAATACAACCCTGAAGTTTGTATCTGATGAAGCTCAGCTATTTATTTTTAAATATTTTTTTTATTTTGTTGCTGCACACATGTGAAAAGAATTGGCAAATCACGGCTCATGTTCGTGTTTACAAAACACATACTGAGCATGCAAGAATTGAGGCCAACTTGGCTCAGTTTAGATTTTCAATGAACGTTGTTATGCGATTCTGAGAAGCTTGAAGGAAACAATTTACCTGGTGCTCACAATCAATGAATAAAGTACTAACAATGATAAAAGAAAAATTAAAAAAAATATTGTCACTTTAACTATCATGGAGTGGTTTAAAGAAGCTGTAATTTAATTTTAAATTTCCAAATGAAGGGTGATAATAGTTGTCAGGGCTTATCTTAGTTGGGAGTCAGGTATGCAGAGATATACGCACACCCTTGCAAATAAAAACAGACAAAGGTGACCAGATAAGGAACCACCTGGGCTGTGAGTCTTTGCACAGGGGCTAGGCTCGGGTGGGCGAATAGGGCAGAGGGAGATAAAGTGCCCTCTCTCTCCACAGTAGAAACCAAGTCTCTTTCCTTGGAAGACAACCTGGTGCGGATGACACCGATATCCATGGACTCCTCTTTGTCCTCTGGAGTGTCAAGGCTTCATTGTGTGACAAGGCCGGTCGCTGAAGGTAGGTTTGTCTTGTAGCAGGATGGGGTCGTTGTATTCTCTGGGTGCCCGAGATCTGCGGGAACCTGGAGCAGGCTTGGGAATAGCTTTCATGAAGGTAAGATACTGAGAGTCCATCACAGTTATAAATGACTCCCAGTTGTCCAAGACAGCACTTTTCTCCTGTAGCTTCTGGTATGCCCATACCTTCAGCCATCTGGAAAGCAGATTAGCAGCGGTAGGGACCTTGACAAAGTCATTGTAATAGGTCCTGGGCTTAAGGGCAAACAGGGTCTCACAATCCCTCCTGAATGTTGTGAATGAGGAACAGGAGCCATCGAACCTGTCAGGCATAATCACAAAGGGTTTTGGATATGCAGGTTCCAGGGTTGGGTGCACCATTCCTTTAACTTCTTAAGGACACATGACATGTGTGACATGTCATAATTCCCTTTTATTCCAGAAGTTTGGTCCTTAAGGGGTTAAATGACGATACATCCATCTGCACCTCCTGAACAGTCTGGGACAGGCTGGACACCTGCTGCGCAAGGGAGGTGAGAAGCTTGTATATCTCTGCAGACTCCATGGTCAGTATATTGTGTTAGTGCTTACCTTAGTTGGGAGTCAGGTATGCAGAGATATACGCTCACCCTTGCAAATAACAACTGACCAAGGTGACCAGATAAGGAACCACCTGGCCTGTGAGTCTGTGCACAGGGGCTGTGCAGGATATTGCTCCAAATCGCAGTACAGGCAAGGACACAAGCAGGAGAATCGTCGAGGATAATCCAAAAGTCAGAGGGTGCCAGAAGTCAGGATAAACAAGGGTAAGCCAAAGTCAGAACACACAATAAAAATAAGCCAAGGTCAGGAGCCGACTGGAGAACACTGGATCACAAACACAGAAACCAGAATTCACAGGGCGAGGCAGTGCTTATATACCCAGCTAACTGATGATCTGCTTCAGGTGGGCTTAGATAGACAGGAGCAGCCACAGTAAACAGCACAGAGGGACCACAGTTCAAATCCCCTGTCTGGCACTTGTGAAATGGCCACGCCTGCCGTCTGGATGGCACAGTGCAAATCATGACAATAGTAGAGTATTGAGTGTTTTTATACATATGTGCTTTATGTGGATTTCTGTATTGTCGGTGCCTGTACCAGTATCTGTAGAAGAAATTGGAAGTTATATATAAAATAAATGTTATGTCTGCTTTTGCTGTCAGTTTATCTTTTGCATTTGCTATTTGTGAGTTTTCTGTGCCATAATTTTCCTCTTTGCATCTTTTTAGTCACTTTTTTTCGTGTTCCTTTTTGTTCATTTTTTTATTGCACCTACTATATTAATAAAGAAAAGCAAATGTGTTACTTTGTTTCGGACAGCTCTTTCCACAACTGTCAGAGTGCAGGTTTTTCCCAATAGTAAGCAGCTTTCACATACTTCCTTTTTGTTTAAAGTATAAAAAAAATCCTTTAAATTGATAGTTCACCCTTTTCCAACAGATATTACTCACTTAGTACCTTCTTTCCTCCATTTATATCCTCACAGCAGCTTGTCATTTAACTATCTATTTATATTACATTGAGTCTGCTAGATGGTTGGTTCAGAAACAGTGGGCAGCCATTAGACCAGATTGCCACCTGGATGTCCTCTGATGTCCTGTTTATGCATTCATTTCAATCCATCCAGGTATTCTCGGCTTAGTCCATCAATGCTGACCCAAGTTATTGATATTATTCTAGATGTCAGGATGACATCACACTATCCTAATGACAAAATCTCCAAGTATTTTTATATTTTATTACTTGCTGCTGAAGTTTTGACAATTCTATTTAGCTGTATTTATAAATGTCTATCTCTAATTGTGTGTTCTGCACGTTCAAGGCATGTTCCTCGCATTACAAGTCCTCAAATATTGCTAATAAAACAAAAACAACAAAACAACACAGCAAATATGCTGGGAATATTCAAAATAGGCTGGAAATCCTCACAGCTGTGCTCTGACTCACTATCTAAGTTCCAGGAACCGTAAGAGAGAGGTATTATGGTCTGCACCAGCAGGAGGCGCAGACTCAGCAATCCACCACTTGACCAATCTGTCAATATATTAAATAAAATTGCATTGCACATTTCACTAAAAGGCAGCAGTATCCTCAGATAGTCTGTCCATCTGCCAGGGAGCCCTTTAGGGATCGAGCCATGAACAGGGTTAGCATGGAGTTGTAAATCTGGCAGGTTGACAGACAGCCTTCTGTGGAGGCCGATCAGAGCTGTTCATATGCAGAGTTCTGCAGAAGTGTTTGTACTTTGTGCCAAAATGCCCTGGAATCCCCTTGTTAGGCCAAGAACTTGTTTAGCAATATGCCCATTATACACTTTATCACAGAGGCGGGACATCAGAGAAACAAAGGCCCAAAAAATGTGTACGTCAACTGGTTGTGGGACACTTGACATGTTTATGCTAGTGTTTCATATAATAAAAATATAAATGACTTAAACCCCCAAAAGGAAGGCAAATGGAAATAGCTACAACCTTTTTTAATATCATCTTTTTACATATATATATATATATTTATGTAAATTATAATTCACTCTGAGAGCACAACTGCATTCTGAAAAGGCAAAACAGTTCATACATTAAATATTTATTTTATAATTAGTCAATCACATTACTTTTGCAGTTGAAACAAACAAATCTGCCATTCAGTGTTCAGCAGTCAAACAATGATTTGTTTTAAAATAAAATAAAATGGAATCTGACAATGAAAGGATTTAAGTAAATGATTTCCAAAAGTCCAATGTGTGCATCCTTTAGCAGATCACTGTAAGATAGAATGTGAGGAAAAAACACCAGTAAATTGTAATCCATTGCTAAAAATGTGGAACATAAAAAAATACATTAATCTAAATAAAAAACAATAAAAAATATGACAATGGTCGTTTTTTTCATTTCACAAAGGCTGACATTTAAATATGTTCACAATGATGCCATCTTTTTTACCTCAAAACTTCAATAACATATATTGTATGCATTGTCCATTTTTTTTAGAATCCCGCTGCAATATTTAGTTCATCTTTACGAATTGCATTCTTCACAATGGCAGGATAGGATGTAGCGATATGTGGCAGTCAGCCTTAGTCCTCCTGAGCAACGCAGACGTATTGCTTTTAAGTTCGATGTCTGCGGCCGACAGCAATGGCAAGTGGAACGAAATGGCTGTTTTAGGACTGTACTGAAGGAGACAAGTGGGTCGGAACGGGAGGTCTGACTGCAACGTCCTTCGCAACG